CCGCGCCAGGTCGCGTGCAGGTCGCGCCAGGCCGGCCAGACCAGTGCCCAGGTGGGACACCAACTTGGTAAGTTGTTGCCTGGGTGTTTGCCTAGTTGTCACGAAGTGCCACGTGTCGCAATTTCACTGGAGGGCCAAATCTGCCCTCATCGACAATGATTAATAATATTAATAAAAATATTATTCAAAACTTATTAATTAATTAAAATATTATTAATAATTTTACTAATATTGTTTTATGAAGTTATTGGCAATTTGACATTACTACTATTAATTTATGCAAAATAATAAATAATAAAATATACATTTATCCAATTAAATGTTATTACTTTTTTCATGGTTTTCAAAACCGAATTGGACCGGAAAAACCGGGAACTGGTCAAGCGACCGGTTTCGTTTTTGGACATTATCGAATTTTGGCCAAAAAAGAGTTGATTTGGTCAGCAAACCACTGACTCAGGCGATTGAACCGTTCAAAGGTTTTGACCGTTTTTTATTTTTTATTTTTTCCTATTAGATCAGGTTGACCATTCTATTCAAACAGCCGAGCCCGAAAAAGCCAGGAGGTGACCGATTCCGTTTTTTGCCAAAACCGGATTTTGGCAAAAAAACATTGATTTGGTCAACAAATTGCTGACTCGGGTGGTTGAATCGTCAAGGTTCAAAATATCAATATGCATGATATGCTGGTAGGGCCGTATCGAGCGAATCGATACCTTTTTTTTTACTTATTTTTATTTTTTTTTCAAAACCGGTTCAGGAGGGCTGGTTTAGGGCTCTTCCACCCCCTGAACCAGTTAGACCCCTGATACACCCACTGTAGGGGCGTATCAGAGAGGTCCTGGAATGATATGTAGCGGCCGATATGAGCTGATACGTGTCGACACTTTGAACCTTGCTCGAACCGTTCAATGGTTTTGACCGTTTTTTATTTTTTTATTTTTTTTCTGAGTCTGACTGGGTCGACCATTCGGTTTGAATGGTTGGATCGGAAAATCAGGGAACGGGTAAGGTGACCGGTTCTGTTTTTCGATAAAACCGAATTTTGGCCAAAAAACATTGATTTGCTCAACAAACTGCTGACCCAGGCGGTTGAACCGTTCGAACCATTCAACAGTGGTTCAATCCCAAATAAGCATCTGTGATAAAATAAAATCCATATGAACATCTATTCAAATAGTTGATGAATGTTCAATGAACTGGAGTAACTTTGACTGGTGTTAGTCACCTTCTTCCGGCGGCAATGGGAGAGCAAGAGCTACAATGATTTACTCAAAAAAAAGGAGCTACAACAACAATATTTCTTAGGATGGAATAATGATGCGAAGCAGGGAATCAATGGCTCTTAGAGTTTTTCACCGTTGCATGGAGCAATCCACGATTCTTACTTGTGGAAGAGATTTTGCGATATAGTGTGGACTGTTCCACGACATATTGTGGTTCAGTCCACACCATACTGAACCGGACGATGTAAATGAGCTGTAGTGTGTTTTCAAACGCAATATAGTGGATAACCACGATACCGAACACCACCTAAAATTTCATAGTTGTATTCCTTTTTGTACCGATACATTATGTTATGTGTCAGTCAATGCATTGGGAATTTTGGATTACATTGAAATTTTAATTAGGCTATGCTTGGTTTGAAGAAAAAAATTAGGGAAAGGTTGAGAAACCTATACAAACCACTTTTCCTTCCTTTTCCTATATTTTCCTTAAAATCATGGTTTTCAAAACTTGACCGAACCGAACAATTGGACTGGAAAAACCAGGAACTGGTCACCTGACCAGTTCCATTTTTCCCTAAAACCATTGATTTTGGTCAGCAAACTGCTGAACCGACCGGTTAAACGTTTGAATGGTTTTGACCGTTTCTCAATTTTTTTATTTTTGTCAGAATGAGCCAACTGTTCGAGTCAACCGGTCGGACCATTTGAACCAGTAACCGAACCCCTAACCGGTTCGATTTTAAAAACCATGCTTAAAACCAGCCTTAATCTTTCTCCCATTTAATAACTCCTATATTTAATATTAATTCCTACATTATATTAATTAAAATTCAATTTTCAATTTCAAATGTTTTTTTTGCCGCAAATTTCAATTTCAAATGTTAACTCCTACATTTAATTAGGCAGCATTAATCACTCCTGTCCCACAATTAAGACAACATTAAACGCGTACGCCATTAGACACACCCCTTAACTAATTATAAACTACACATAAGAAGGCTTCAACTTCAACCCTGATCATTTGTTTGTAATATATAATCCCATGTTCATCACTGCACCATATTTTAATTATTTGTTATAATTGTATGCATTTTTATTTTTAAGCAAACTTTCTCTTCTTTGTGGCTATTTGTTATATGTTAATAAAGGCTAAAATTGATTATTAAAATTTATATATTAATAATTATTAAAAAATTATATTAATTTTCAGAAAATTAATATAAAATTTGATCCTTTCATCATTTTTCAACGGTTACCAATTATGTCTCAATATTTTTCACACATATAAGGCAATTGAAGTATGTTTTTTTATGTACAAATAATTTACCTGTAGTCATATGAAACTTGTACTTATTACTATTAATATGTTTTTATGATTTATTTGAGTTTTCTAGTATATTTATATATATCTTGACATTGTTTTACTTTATTGATCTGTGCATATCCAAAGCCTTTACCTCTTTTACATTTGAGTTTCCAATACTTTGAAGCTTGGACAGAACAGTTTAGTGTCAATATATATTTTGCTAGGCCAGCAATTATGGGTAACATGCTAACATGGGTGATTAGTTAGGTTGAGTTTTTACTTGATTTAGGAGTCTTAAATGAATGCACACCAGCCTTTAAATAATGGTTTTTAAGGCTTTGTTTGCTTTTGGGTAAGTTATTTATCCGGATAAGTGTATTTATCCATGTTCTTTTATTTTCCATGTAAATAAGGCAATGACTATTTTAGTCATAAAAATTCATTATTAAAATGGTCATTTTTGTCCCATTCAAGCATGATTTTCAAAACCGGACCAGACCGGACGGTCGGATCAGAAAAATTGGGAACCGGTTAGTGACCAGTTTCGATTTTCCCCAAAACCGGAATTTCTTCAAAAACCATTGATTTTGGTCAGCAAACCGTTGACCCGGGCGTTTAACAATTCGAACCATTCGAACGGTTTTGACCTTATTTTATTTTATTTTTTATTTTTTTGTCAGAATGGGCCGACCGTTCAGTTCAAATGGTCGGACCATTTGACCTGGTAACCGGACCCTTGATCAGTTCGGTCTCTAGGTCGGTTTTAAAATTCATGCATTTAAGTGTTGGCAACTCCTACTCAAATAAATGATACCCAAGAAAATAAACTTTCTATTATCCCCACATACATCTGAAAAAAGAATACCCCTAAGAGAGATCAAGAATCAAAGAATAAAAAAAAAATTCACTCTTCTGCAAATTGATATATTGGAAAAAATTATTAGTTCAATGAAATAGGAGCTACGACCACGATACCACCCACGTGTAAAGTTATAGGTTGAGTTTTTAGTTGGTTTAGGAGAGGTTTAAATGCATATACACCAGCTTTTAGATGATAGTGTTTTAAGAGAGAGAGAACCAAATAATGAATAAACCAAAAAAAAGCTTCCTCTTCCGTATACTGGATATATTGGAAAAACTCTTTTTTATCTTTCATGAATAAAGAGCGACAACAAGTACTTGGAACTCCAGGCGACAGTACGTTGCAACTACACACTGAGAGAACTTCTCCCGTACTTCTATGTTTCTATTCATACGGAGCTGTTGTCAATGCATGTCTGCATTAGCGGTGACTGGACCCCATCTAGCTATTTCCTTTTTTTTCTTAATAATATAGCTTCTTTTATGACTTATTAAATAATAATAATAATAATAATAATAATAATACGAGTTCTATAAAATGAGCCCAAGTAAGAGATACTCACGTAGGTGTACGTACCCAGATAGAGAGAGAGAGAACGCAGATCTCTTGCCCACCCTCGATCCATTCATGGTGCTACTTTCAGTCTAAAGCATTCGATCCTTCTCCTTCATTCCATTAGAGAGACGAGGAAAGCTCTCTCCTTTAGTCATTCTTCTCTCTCAGGAGGCCATCATTATCAGCCAGCGTATCAGGTACTTGATCTTTCTTTCTCTCTCACACACACCAAAGACAAAGACAGACGGACCACCGACGAGCCTATATTTCAATACGAGCAATTGAAATCTGGGCTTTGTTAGGATGCCACTCTGCAATATGCGGCCAACTTTGCTTCTGAGTTCTGAGAGACCCGAGACTTGAAAGGCAGATGTACCCACCTCACCTGGCTGCATCTTTGTGTTGTGGGTGTCGTCAGATAGACATAGACATAGACATACTGTCTCTGTTTTAAAACCCGATCTGAAACCGAATGACCGGTTTTTAGGTTAACGGTTCGATTATCCGGTTCAAATGAACGGTTCATTCAGACAAAAAATTTAAAAAATTAAAATAATATATAGTAAAAAATCAGAACCGGTCGCGTGATTTGTTCAAAAACATTGCATATTGTGTTCGTTTTTGTATTAATTGTATCTGCTTCTCTTAAGCTCTCTAATTCTTTTTGTCTCGTTTGGAGGAAAGCGAAGAAAAGCGGAGAAGAGGAAGGGAGATGACTCTGAAATTCAGAAGTCCCTTGTCCGTTCAATCTCAGAAGTTTCCATCTTTCGGTCTTCCACCTCCGGCCAATCTCAAATGCCCCGTTCCCAAGGTTTACATGCCTTCCAGCCTTCGCTCCCCCGGCAGCAAGTGAGTACTTGCTTTTTCATTTTCGCTGTCGCCGTCTTCCTCTTTTCCCGGAATAATAGGACGATGCATCGTCATTTTAGTAGTATTTTTACACTTCTTTTCCTTGTCCGTGTGGGTTTATTTATTGTCTCGTACCGTCCTACATTAATACTCTCTTAGTACGTAGGGGTGCAAAATGCAAATGGATGGAATTATTTGGTCGAATTCTGGATCGGATCGAACATAAACAGTGTTGGATTATATTCTAGTCAGGGTATATTCAAATTCATATCCATCATCCGTTTGCATCCATATTAGTACGTGTTTGATTCTGTGGGTAGATGGGGTATTTATTGTTTCAAATGTTTATTTGAAAAATTTTACTTTTTTATTTTTTACCTCTTATTAACACCTATACCACATAAATATTTTATAGGGCATTGGGAAAAACAAGAATTCGACATGTGTAATGCACATAAATCTAAATGTTTTATATTTTTAGTGTTTATTTGAAAAACGTTGAAATCAAATAATGTAATGTGATGGTATTTTTTCAATAAGTGCCAATAAAACCAAGCATAGCCTTAATTTCCATTTAGGGATGACAATAAAACCAAGCATAGCCTTAAATCTAAATGTTTTGTTGTGGGGATTTTTTTGGCAGGGCGAGGACGGGGACAGGGATTAGTAGGAATCCCTGATCGGGGTTGGGGTCGAGGGTGGGGACCATTGAGGTCCCCAGGTCCCCACCCTGCCTTGACCCCGATTATGTATATATATTATATTATTTATATTATATATATATATATATATCAAAACATATTTAAAAAATTATTTATAATTTAAAATTTTTATTTATTTTAAGTAAATTTATTTTTCAAAAAAAAATACTGTTATCTAAAAAAACTTCGGGGATTTGAGTCTCTACGGGGAATCCATCCCCATCGAGGATTGGGGATGGAGGAAAAATTTTATCCCCGGCGGGGATCGAGAACGGGGACGGGAGTTACTTTCATAATCGGGGTCGGTGACAAGGAATATGACCCCGGCCCCAAACCTGCCCTATTGCCATTACTATTTCCATTGTTTAGTTTTTCTTACATTCAACTTTCTATTTTATAGTTTTTTGGACTTTTACCTTTTGTTTTTTTCAATAAAAATAAACTCATTATTCCATCACCATCCGTGCCGTACACAAGCAATAATTGAAATTAATAGTAAATAATAAAGGCTAATAAATAAATATAAATTAACAAAAATATTAGAAAATAACACGAATTAATCATACTTGGCTTTGAGCTTTATTTTAGGATCAGGCTTGAACTTGGGCTTGGACATTGTCTAGGTCCTTTTATAGGGTCGCAATTGAGCGGGCTTGGATGGGTTTAAGCTCAACTTAGGCTCAACCCTAAGAATTGGGCCTAAATTGTTCAACATAGGCCCAACCTGAACTTAAACTTTATGCATTTGGGTTGGGTTTGGCGGACACTTGTCAATCAATCGGTTTACATTAAAATTTAAAATAAATATATGTATATATGTATGCATATATACATATATGTATAATTAATCAAAACATATGTATATATGTGTTTGTGTATGCATATATGTGTACATTAGTATATAGGCTTGGCTCCTGGACCCAACTCAAAAAACTAAAAAAAAAGCCTGAACCTTTTAGGTCCAGGCCCAAACCAAAGACTGAAAATCAAATCTCCAACCTGTATAAAATTGGGAGCTGCGTAGGTCCAGATTCAGGCTGGAGAGGTAGTGGGACTCAAATCCACATCTCTTCTGGGACAAACCCATTTACGTGACAACTGAGCCACCACTCAATTGGTGGAATTGATTTTAATTTGTACCATAAGACCAAGGCTTACCACGTTGGAACACGAGATTTTTGTTGGCAGGGGATTCCGATTCGATTTTTTTTTCTTCCGTTTCCCGCTTAATGTTGGAACATGTTGGAAGGGATTTTTATTGGTAGGGGATCTGGCCAATTCGGTTTCTTTTTTCCTTCCTTTTCCAGCCTTAATATAATTGAGGAAGTGGGTGGATTTTTTTTTTTTGGGTAAAATGGACAGACCTACGACAGAGAGATACCCTGTATTTTCCGATTCCTAATTAAGAAACTGTTCCACCGTTAAAATGTTGAGAGGAGATCCGCATGTAACCAATTTCTAAAACCCACTCTATGGTTTGTGTTTACAACTCATTTTCTTAATTGAACCTCTATTAAGAATCATTTGTGTTATCATTTGGAAATGGTCAACTGATCATATAATAAATTCCGTTTGGAAGGAATACAAATATAAATATGTAGAGTGCAAGATCTTGTATTTTATATTATTTTATATATATTTATATTGTACATATTTGTATTCCTATTCCTACTCCTTCCAAATTTAGGCTGAGTGGAAAATGTTTAATGCATGGGATAATGGTTGTTTATTTCAAAAGTACCCTATCAAGCTTTTAAAAAGAAATCCCTCCCCCCACAACAAAACAACTTGGTTGGGGAATTCCTTTCCATCCAAGAGAAGTGTTTTAGTAAAATGCAGATTATAGGATAGGTTTGAAACCTTGAATTATTATTTCTTTGACCATTTGCCCTCTCCTGTATGCATCTCTAAAACCCAAGTCATTATCTTCTTTATTAGACTTGGTTGACGAGATCATGGATACCAAACCCTTTCTCTTGAGATGCTATAGGGTTATGTTGTCTGACTTTTGAATGGACATTTTCATAAATTTACCCTCACTATCAAGCCCTTTAGTGGGATGCACAACATAGTGTTGGAATCTGAAAATATAGGGTAGCCATCTGGCAAATGAAAATTTTGGAGATATCATTTCTTGTTACCACCATTGTAGCACAAACCAAAGACCCCTGATGAAATTGATTAAAACACTGGTGTGTTTTAAATTTCATTGGATGGTCTGGTCTTCAGTTTGTCTTGATGGTGGTTATAGGATATGTGATCTTTGGATCTAAGGTTGCGTTTGGAAATGATGCAAATATAGTGTAAATCCCGGTTCAGGGTAAATTTGCATTTTGGTTTACTTTTGCCTATGTTTGGCAACATTACATTTTTGCATTGACAAATGATAGATCAATGCATATTTACATTGATAATAAGATGTAAACATATGTCAATAAAAAAAAAAGTAAATTTGCATTCAAGTAGGTTTTTGATAAAAAAAAAGGCATATGCTTTTTATTGGAATTCGTGTTTGTATACATTACAACTAAAAGTTTGTTTGATAAGAAGGTAAATTTGTCGGTGCAAAACTAACCCAACTTTACAATTTATATGAACCGTTTTACACTCTACATATTTGCACTCACACTTATTTGCATCGTTTCCAAACCCAACCTAAGTGACACTACCCTCAAATTATAGAGTAGGTTTTTGTATTTTACCTAGATTCTGATGGATGCCTATTGTGGCACACCTGTCATGTATAAAGGTGTAATATGGGCCATGTCATGTGGCACGCAAGCCTTGGCCAGTCATGCTAGTACGCAATGGCTAATAAAAAATACATAGGACCCACACCTTTTACAGAATTTATCATTGGTTCCACAACCTAACAAAGTCATTGCGTTCAGGTAACCCGAATTCTTCAAAAGAAAAACTTGACATGACTTAGGACCCAAGCCCAGGTGGGCCCATGTCGTTCTAGGCATGGTGGCACGACTTTTTTTAGAAAATTGAAAAAAAAATAATGGAAAGGTTAAAATAAAATAACAAGATAGAACAAAAATTACAATAAATTTGAAAAAATAATAGAATAAAATTAGAAAAAAAAATTACAATAAAATTGGAACAAAGTAATATAATAAAATTGAAAATAATATATATATATATATATATATATATATATTATTATTACACCCATGCCAACACGTCATGCATATAAAGCTTTAAAAACTGTTTAGGCTGTTTTTTTCCAAACAAGCAAACTTTTCCCATATTGTCTCTCTGAGTTTCGTGTTCGTGCATTTTCATTTGTAAGACGAATTTTATTAAAACAAAGGTGGAGAGCACATAGACGAAATCATGGGGAAAATGCAGAATTTCTCAAAAGCTAACCTATGGCTAAAGAAACATCACAGTCAGTATCTCTGGAATGTCAGCTTTCTGGGAGATGTCTCTGTTTGTGTGTTTTCATCTGTAAGACAAAACTCTTTACTAAAACAACCAAAGTTGAGGGAAGCACAGAAATGATAGAAAGATACACATGATGCCCAATTATAGGAGCACGCATCATTTCTCAAAAGCTAACCCATGACTAAAAGGAACACGACTGAACTTCTCTGGAACATCGAATCGAGTATACAGAACAGTTATTACTTCCATCCCCTATCTGGCTGAATTATCCCACTAGTGAATTGGCAGATTTTCACATCTGGGTGAATGAGATAGAATTTGGGTTCATCAATATCTCCATAACAACTTCACTCCCTTGGAAATAGTTGATTCTATCGAGAGGATGAGTGATAGAAATTGGGAATTCTCCACATTATTGCTAAACATAGAATAAGTAGGGGTTATGCTCAATGCTGCTTAATCCTCAGTAGCCATAGGAATAGGTATGTACTCACTGCAAACAGCCCCTTCACCCTAGAATCACCACAAAACTGATGTTTACACATCAAACAACATCACCAAATAGATTACAAGTCTGTGTTTTGTAATAAACTATCAATTCAATTTGTAACAAACTATCACCACACATAGTCAACCCAGGTCAAGTCTGTGTTTTGTAATCACCATCAATTCAATTTCCCCCTTGACATAAAAGGAAAGAAGCACTTAAAGATATGTAATGAACTTCCAGATCTGAAAAAGCTTAAAATAATTAATCAGAAACCTTGCTGCACAGCTTCTATCAACACAGAAGAGTTCTCCATCACATGCCTTGGCACACAAACACACTGCACACACCCCGGCAGTTAACAAAATCCCACCATCTCTCTTCCAGTCACCAATCAAATAAGGAAGTCCAAGAGAGAAAAGAAGAAAAGAAGTTTCATCAATCAATATCCCTACTCTGATACCATGTAATCAGACCTGTAATTCTGTAAGAAAGGAGAAAAGAGAGGAAAAGAGAGAAAAGGAGAAGAGACGAGAAAATAGAAGARAATCTTAGTGGGAGTGGAGGTGCCCACTCTACCATTTTATTAGGGGGACCTAAATAGAGATAAATTGATAAGAATGCACATATGCCTCTACTTACACATACTACAACAGTACACTTTTCTTCTATGTGTCTCATGGCTTATATTAGCTCCTAGTTATCAATTACAAGTTTCTAAACTAGCTATTTCTGGTCAATTAAGGGAAATTGAAAACCTGAAGAAGCCTTTCGGCTCTCCCCGTGAGATAGATATTCGGGTAACTCACTCCATGCCACCAGAAAAGATTGAGATATTTAAATCCATGGAGGATTGGGCAGAGAAGAACATCTTGGTACACCTAAAGCCTGTTGAGAAGTCTTGGCAACCACAGGATTTTCTACCAGACTCTTCATCAGAGGGATTCTATGAACAAGTCAAAGCATTGAGGGAGCGATCAAGGGAGATTCCTGATGATTACCTTGTTGTCATGGTTGGCGATATGATTACCGAAGAAGCCCTTCCTACCTATCAAACATTCCTTAATTCCCTAGATGGTGTTCGCGATGAAACCGGCGCAAGCCCCACTTCTTGGGCAGTGTGGATCAGGGAATGGACTGCTGAAGAAAATAGGCATGGGGACCTGCTCAACAAGTATCTCTACTTGACTGGACGAGTTGATATGAAGCAAATTGAGAAGACAATTCAATATCTGATTGGTTCAGGAATGGTAAGATTGTTTCTATGAACTCATGCTTTTTTTTTCTTCATTTTTTTGTTAGCTAGCACCTAGCATTGGTAGTTAAATCTTCATTGTGTTAATCAAAAAACTTTTTAGGATATGCATGTGTCAATAAGTGGAGCTAGTTTCTTTTCATCTTGGCTTAGTTCTATATCTAATTGGACCAGGACTGGTTTTAGTTGTTCTAAAACAATTAAGATCCGGATTGGTTCTGGGTTTGTTACTGCAGACACTATAGGATCTGGCTCAGAACTGACCTGCTCACAACTTTGGTTCAGGTCAACCTGTTGACCCATCTGATTCATTTTAATGGGTTACAGACTTACAGATCATTAATTTTCTTACCTGTTGATCCAGAGAAAACCAGCAAAGAGGTTTTTCAGTAATTGAATTGAAGGATTTATAATTTCTTACCAGTTAGTTCTGCTAGATTTAATTCGAAACTGAATAGTGTATGCGGGAATATTACATTCACTCTATGAAATTATCCCACCTTTCTAAGGCTCATCTTTTCCTCAACATTTTCATAGAATATAAGGACAGAGAACAACCCCTATCTTGGGTTCATCTACACATCATTCCAGGAGAGAGCCACCTTCATCTCTCATGGCAACACTGCCAGGCTTGCCAAGAAGCATGGGGACCTGAAGCTGGCCCAGATATGTGGGACTATTGCTGCTGATGAGAAGCGCCATGAGACCGCTTACACCAACATTGTAGGGAAGCTTTTTGAGATTGACCCAGAGGGTTCTGTCTTGGCTTTAGAAAATATGATGAGGAAGAAAATCCTGATGCCTGCCCACCTGATGTATGATGGAAGGGATGACAATCTTTTCGATCATTTTTCAGCTGTTGCACAGAGACTGGGGGTCTACACAGCAAAAGACTATGCTGATATATTGGAATTTTTGGTCAGTAGATGGAATGTGGAGAAGTTGACAGGTCTTTCTGGTGAGGGAAAGAAAGCTCAGGATTATGTGTGTGGTTTGGCTCCAAAAATTAGGAGGTTGGATGAGAGAGTCCAATGCCGAGCCAAACAAGCTCTTTCACTTCCTTTCAGCTGGGTTTTTGATAGAGACGTGAAGCTTTAGGTGCAGCATGGAAGCAAAGGTCAATTCCACTCTCTTGCCAAACTCCTCTTTAATTGCATTTTCATTTTAATTCTATTGATTTCTTCCTTTTGTCATGGATGATGTAGGTCTGCATTTCTTTTCCTTTGAGAGCTCTACGAGGATGCTATGGCGTATGCAGCAGGGGTGTCAAGTCTATGTTATGATACATGTTTCTTATAAATTATAATACATGCTTCAGCCCTCACTAGGGCTATCATTCTCTCTTTTTCTATCTCACTACGATCAATAACACCAGTTGATTGATTACCACTTCTATGATACCGACTGGTTATCAATTTTTTTAGGTCCTATGGCTTTCAAGTGAGATTATACAAGAATAAAACTCTGTTTGGTTTGAAAGAAAAGGAAGGGAAGGAAGAGAAATCCTCTCCCTTAATTGAATTAACTTCCCTTCCTTGTCTTTCAAACCAAGCACAGCCTAATCGATTGTTATATTGCTTAATTATTTGCGTTTTATTTAGGGTATAATTGCTTTAGATTTTGTTCAAAATTTCTTTGTACTTACTTTAGTTCGAGTGTGCCCAAACTTTAAAATGCGATAAACTAGTACTCAAACTTTATAAATAGGACAATCTAGTACCTTCTTAGGAAAAGACACAAATTTCCTTCAAGAATCATCTAATTTTTTTTTTATCAACATCTGTGACACAGGTGTTCCATTATTGGTTGATAAAACAACAACTGTGTAAGAAATGCCCTTAAGCAACCCCGGTTTTCCTTTTTCTTTCTTCGCTATTCATCACCGTTTATGACAAGAAACAGAGGAGTTGCAGCGGCGAAACTCCTCTATTACTATCATTCGTCTAACCCCTTTTGGCACAAACCCAATCGATACCCAACCCCATTCTACTCCCCATCGATCCCCCTTAGTATTCCACTGTTTTCAAGCTCTCTCATTCCATCTGCCCCATCCTCAGTAGCTTCAGCATTCGAACAGGAAAGATCGACGCAGCAGCCATACAGATATCACCGGTTGAAGAAACTCAATCCTGCATCTCACCTTGCTCCCGTGAGCCTGTAATCTCCCACGAGGTTATATATTATTGGAGGCAGACGGCCAAGCAAAAACTGGTCGAACCTCCTCTGTTTTTTCTTTTTTTTCTGTATACATCATCTATGGAGTAGATTTGGTCGCAGCAGTTGTTGCTCGAGCTCCCTTTCATAACCAGCTAGCGTAGCTCACACTTAGCGTTTCTACCTTTGTTCGAAGACAAATAGAACGCGCCAGAAATCCAGCCGGAGCTTTCTCCTTTGATTCTTTCATTTTCTTTCTCCTATATTTCACTGCTATTGGAGCTCGAAGGAGGGAGAGAGAGTCAATAGAGTTGGCGAGGGGATTTCCCAATACCAACTCCGGTAAGCTCTCGTCATCGACTCAGCTCTGTAACAGCCAGTTTCTCATGGTGTGGGTCATTGGCTCGAGGCCGGATGCCATCCAAGCTGGTTCTACTCAACGTGTATTTCCTCCATGCACAGACGTTTGCAACCAGTTCGTCCATGCCGTCCAAGCTGGTTCATATTAAGCGATGGTTAATCCTTAAGATGGTTGCAGGCGTTTAACGGACATAATTGAATTAAATGACAAAGGGAGGGATGAAGGATCTGTTCACACACTACAGATAATCGCCGTCTGTAATGTTGCAGACGGTTAACCATCGCTTACACATTACAGATAATCGCCGTCTGTACTAACAAAGGGAGGGATGAAGCATCTGTTATCACAACACTCCAAAGCGTCAGATGGCCAGCACTTAACCATCCATCTTAAGCGCTTGCTTGCAGATGGCGAGGGAGCTGATCGTCTTCTTTAAGACTCTGACCGGAGAGCATAGCAGTTGAAGCTTGAAATTTTGAAACAAATGAAACTCAGAAATAAAGCCTTAAATCGCGAACGGCCGAGCGTCTTGGTCTGCACTGTATATAGCTTTTGGACTCTATTTGAAGAAGATGACGAACAATGTGTTATTTTTAAGAATAATTTTGATATTTTCAAAATTCTTAAATTAAATTGTCGTATTTTAAAAATTCAAATACTAAATTGTTGCATTTTAAAATTTGGGTACGAAATTGAAACTCAGCCTCAGGATACTATCGGGAATTTTTCCTTTTTTTTTATTTTATGTATTAACATTCAAAAAATAGAACATAGAGCAAATTTGCTAATGAAGTTCTTCTCTTTAATAGCCTTTTGTACCATCTCGCGTTTCTGGATGCTTCTAAGACCCTTTGAAGTTTGAGATCAGTTATGAAAATCTGGGCCCACCATCATCATAGTGAGCAACTTAACAAATTAACATGTTTGATCATTTAAAGACCTTAGCATTGTGGCCACCTAAGCCCAGCTTAGCCCACTATGTTATAAATATATACTAGCGAGGACCCGTGCGATGCACGGGATTTATTAAGCACAAGCTAAATAAATAGAAAGGGTTAGTTACTAAAATACCCCTTATAGTTTTATGGATTTAATAAAATCTACCCTATAGTTAAAATTTACTACAACACCACTTATAATTTGTAATGGATTTAATCAATCTTCCATTAAATGATAGTGAAAAATGACAATGTTGACCCTAATGTTCATTAAATAAATTTGATTAAAAGAAAATAAAAACAAAAATACCATTTTTGCCATTTATAAGACACGAGCAACCACTTAAGCATCGGAGTGTTCCCGTCGGGCAAGCCCTCGGGGATTCCTCTTCTTCCTCATCTCAGGTATCTTTCAAGAGCCACGTGAGTGCCAGCTAGGAGTGACCAGATCGCGCTACATCATTTGGCGCCGTCTGTGGGATACGCTTCAAAAAGCCTTTCTCTAAACCTTCACAGTTCTCTCTTCCTTGACAAAACTCAGCATTCATGGCTTCCTCAACCAACGTTGGACGAAGCATGGAGATGGATAACTCCAGGGAACAACCCCAGGTTCCCACGGTCTGCATAGGGCAGTTCACCATCCCTCTTTCGGTGGACGGAGTCCCCAGCCTGAACGTGCCGCGAGCAACGACGCCTGTGGGTGTTCCCCTTCCTTCCTCTGTAGAAACGACCTTTGCTGAACCAACTGTCGTTCCTCTGGCGGCCAGCCAGAACCAGCTCGACGACCTGATGCAATGCATGCGGGCCATGCAAGCCCAAGTGCAGTAGCTCCAACAACACCAGCTTTATCAGCAGCAAGTGCTGCACCACGTCTCCCAGTACCACTACCAGCAACAGTTCCCCCAGCTGCCTCAACCTCAGCTTCAACAGCCGCAGCTCCCGCCTCGGCACCCAGCCTCACAGCGAGCTGGGTCTCGCCGCCCGGACGAACGCTCTTCTCGCCAAGGAGAAGCCTCCCAAAACCCTTCCAAGGGCCAGGCCTCCTCCCACAGTAGAAAAGAAAGACTGGCCACCCCGGTCTCGCCGCAGGCGGTCAGGTTCGGAGGACCCCAGCACGCCAGGTCCACATCACCTCGGCAGTTGAAGTTTGAAACCCCGCATCTAGAGAACCGATTCAAGATCCTAGCTGCTGACTCCAAGCAGGATCCCTCTGTCCGCAGCCATCACCAGCGGCCCGAGCTACTTCCTGCCCAAACCATTCCTGATAGCACAGAGGTAAGCAACACATACGCCGAGCCTGCGAAGAAGTAGAGACGCCACCGCCGAGCTCGCCGATCTGCCACCCACAACCTGCCCGAGCTCGAGGGCAAAGAAGAGGTAAGCTCGGGCGAAGTTAAGGCTCCCCTCCTTTTAGTTCCGCCCCCCCCTATCTTTTGAACTCCTGACAGTCCCAATGCCTAAAGATTTCAAGCTCCCCCCTCTTGACAAGTATGACGGGTCGTTTGACCCAAATGACCACGTAGACGCCTTTTAGTTGCAGATGCACCTGGCGAGAGCCAGTGAGTCGTGCATGTGCGTGGCCTTCTCCACCACTTTCAAAGGAGTAGCCCGCACATGGTACCGAAACCTGGCACCCGGATCAATAAGAAGTTGGGCGCAGTTCGCGAAAGCCTTCACGTCCCACTTCGTCACCAGCAAGCGGTGCCCGCGAACTGAAGAAAGCCTCCTCAACATAGTGCAGAGAGAGGGAGAGTCCATCTAGAGCTTGCATGCAAATACTGCGCCTGGATCTCGCCGTGCGCCTCGCAGCAGCCAAGAAAGGCGTGACGCATAAAGAGTTCAAGTGGCACATGGTTGTCAACCAACCAACGACCATAACCGAATTCCTTAAGTTCACGGACAGGTTCATAGCCATAGAGGAAGAGATCAACCAGAAGGGCGAAGGCGCGCCCGAGAAGAGGAAAAGGGAAGGAGAGCCTTCCAGTCAAGGGGACAACCGAAAGAAAAAAGATGTAGCTCGGGGGGCAAAGCCGAGTCAGTCGTTCCGAGCTCCCGTACCGGACCGAATTGATTAAACCCCACTGAACGCGAAGCGGGCCGAAATCTTGATGGCGATCAAGGATGCCCCGTATGTGAAGTGGCCACCCCATTTGAGGGGGAATCCCAACAGCAGGCCGGCCGAACAGTCATAGAGGCAGCCTCCAGAAGAGAGGCCAGTTTGGGGCACCATCCACGTGATAATGGGAGGCTCAATCGTCGCGGGTTGTACTTCAACAACAGCTCGGACGTCAGTTCGTGAAGCCGCCCGAGAAGAACAGAATCCTCCGAAGCAGCCGAGGACAGAAGAGCCAATTCTCTTCACGGAGGATGATGCGCGAGGGGTCCCCTACCCCCACGATGATGCGCTTGTGATAAAGCTGAGGATCAACGACTTCGAGGTCAGGCGCGTGCTCGTTGACTCGGGCAGCTCGACAGATATTCTATTCAAAGCCGCGTTCGACCAGCTTCAGTTGCAGAGAAGTGACTTGAAGCTCGCGAACACTCCTTTGGTGGGCTTCAACGGAGAAAAAGTCCGGCCCCTTGGGAAGGTAATAGTACCTGTGGAAGTCGGCACATGGCCCTGCGTAGTCACACTCAACCACGACGTCTTGGTGGTCGGGACCCCCTCCCCAAACAATGCCATAATAGGTCGGCCGATCACTCACGTCCTACGGGCGGTGGTCTCCACTTACCATTTGGCAATGAAGTTCCCTATAGACTTTGGTGTGAGGGTAGCGCGAGGCAACCAGCTCGAGTCCCGCAAGTGCTATGTCGTCGCCCTAAAGGGAAAGACCAAGGTGGCCGACGAC